TGCCACGCACAAATTAACATTGACACACATGTACAAATCCATATTTTCAGCCATGCTACTGTTTGCGTTTTGCATACGTTGGCATAACTAGGATTTCCATACACCTACATATATATATAAAATGGATATATAATTTTTTTTCTTACATTTTCATTGTCACAGCTTTCCTTCAGAACTGCAGTGTGACCAACAATCCTCATCCAGAGTGGGTCTTTTATTCAGATAAACTTCTTTGTTAATTAAATGTCTCATAGAGGTCAATAAATAGGCAATGGTTTTGCTGTTAGGGCATGTTTTTCTGCTATAAACACAGAACTTCCAGAGCAGAGGGGTTGACACTTTTCACAAAATACAAACTGCTAAACTTTAGAGTATTTTTCAACATCAAAGCAATGTCAGCTAAAATAATTTATTGGGGAAATTCAGATTTTTTTTTGAGAACAAGGATCACCCAAAACAAAAGTTCATTGCATAGACCTTATCTGTAAGCTCATTTGAGCAGGGTCCTCTTCAACCTATTGTTCCTGTAAGATTTCTTGTAATTGTCCTATTTATTGTTACATCCCCCTCTCAAAATATTGTAAAGCGCTACGGAATCTGTTGGCGCTATATAAATGGCAATAATAATATAATAATAATAATTAGTAAAACGTGAGAATTGGTGTCTGTCTGAAAAGTTTTGCAAGGCAATCTTCACTACCCAAGATGTTGTGGACTACATATCCAATAATGTTCTTACAGCCTTAATGCTGGCAAAACATCAGGGAAGGAAGGTGTAGTCATCTGAAATGCCTAAGGTTGCCTATCCTTCATATAATGCTTAAAAAATAGGTTGACTTTAGTCCAGACTGTCTCATTATGAGAAGAGCGGCTAACCTTGATTTGACGTTATGATGGTCCTTCCACTGCTTATTCATCTGTTTGACTATACTCCTACTCCTGCTATTTTTTTAATAAAGTTTCCAAAGCCCAGCGTCCATCAAAGTTCAAGGGCTCAACTTGCAAGCAAATGGCTGTTAAGGTAAAAGCATTGCCCGTTCAACTATATTTGCAATGACAATTTGCCTATCATGTTGAGCTTCACAGCACATAACTTGTGAAATATATATATATATATATATATATATATATAAATATATCTAACTATATCATGGTAAAACAAACTTATTGCTTACGTGTTAACAAAAGGTCACGTGCACTAGAGCCCTGGTTATCATCTCAATAAATCTAGATGTCTTGACGGAGAACCAGGAAAGTATTGCAAAGACCATGTTTACAAAGGTGGCATACAGTTCAAGAAGAATAATTGGAGAGTTGTGTGACCTTTGGATTTAGTGATCAAATGGTCATTTTGGTTTGAGAAAATTCAGTTTAATGTTAAGATCAGAATTTTTTTTCAAGAAAATCAGGTAGAAAGCTAGGATAAAAGTTAATTGTAGATTATGCTAGCTTTAGTGTACCTATAATCTTAATTTTATTAATGACAGGAGGCGAGTATTTGCTTAAGTCTCTCTTTACTAGAATTCCACAGCAGCACAGAAAAACAACCGATCAGAAAAAAGTCAGGTACTATAAAACTCCCCTTCCCATGCATCATTTCCTCTTTCAAGCTGCAACAGAACAAAAGGCAAAAAAAATATAATGGGGAAGAAACAAAGTCCTAGATATAATGAATACAACAATGTCCACCAACCAGATAGCGTTGATGGACTGTAAACTGAAACGAGAGAAAAAACAGAATCGAACAGGTTGGTTAGCCATTGAAATTACTCTGTACAAACATGTAGGTACACCATGTAGCAACCAAAAATACCATAGCCTGCACAGATCCCAACCACACTTATGAAAAGACAGACATAAGAACAAGAGACAGGTAGCAGAGACAACAAGCAGAGTTGCATACGTACCTGAGGAACCCAAACTATAAATTTAAACAAGGGAGGGCTAAGAATGGGCGGGAAATACTCGCCTCCTGACTAACAAAGAACCCGATGTGCGTTTCAGTGCATTTAGTTGCACCTTCGTCAGGGACTAAGAGGCCCTCTTAACCACTGACGAAGGTGCAACTAAACGCTCCGAAACACGCGTCGGGTTCTTTGTTAGTTTTTTTACACATGGTGGCACTAGGTGTTTGATTTATTATCTTCATTTTTATTTTTTCATCTTTTTCAGCCTTGAGTTATGTGGTCTAGGGGATAATTGGTAGGGAGCCACTTTCGTTTCTATTTCTCTTCAGGGACAGTATAGAACACCCTTGAAGGTGTTTGGTTTAGGAGCAATAGGGACTAAACTCTGAACCTGCACTGTCCGCTTTACTGCTATTTTCCAAGCATTCTCTGATGATTGTTGAGCTCTCGCTATATACTACTAGAGACAGCATAGAACACCCTTGATTCAGGAGCAATAGGGCAGATTCAGTCCTATATATATCCCTACTGGTAGCCTTCTTTGATCTACTTGTAGTATGGCTATTAATCCTGTCCCATTTCTGATGCAATTGCTCTGTTAGGTCTCTCTATCTCCCCTATTGACCCTGGTATATCTATCCATACCAATTTTGAGTCACAAGTTGGATTGTTCCACATATAGTGCCCTTTTACACATCACAATAAAGTATTTTTTATTATTTTTTCTATGCATTTTTGGAACTAGTATGTGAATTTGTATATGGGCAATTTTTATTACCAATACTCAGTGCTGATTTTTCTGAGTCATTATATGTTTTAAGAGAGTTTCCTGTACTTTGCTTAAAACCAGTTTTGAGTCTCATTTCTTTTTTGAGACTCTATTATTTTAATTTCTCTATTATTATATCTTGGGTACAAGCCCTTTACTAGGTGGATCTGGAACCACCATTCTGACCTTTGTGTGTTCCATTCTTACATTCTGTGAGATTTGAACACATATCTATCTTTTTGTATTTAACTATACCCCTGTACAAGAGCTAAAGCATTAGCGGTAAGCTCGGTATGATGTACGGACCTCCATATTGAGTGGAAAGCAGGAGGGACGCCCCTCTATGCAGTCATCGTTGTCCTGTACAGGTACAAGCCTGTGTGATGAACAAATGGATGACACCGTAGTGCGTTGAGTGTATGAGAGAGCCACACTCTCTAATAATGTAACCGAAATCTGTGACAGCATCCGGCTGATAGCATGCTGATAGCATGTTAATAACAAAAAATTAGAGCCTACATCCGTTTCTGGTTTCTTCTATGAGTGTGTGTCACACTCCACACATGTCCCCTGTATCCTTCTCAGTATTGCGCTGAGGTTGAGGGAGGGCCACACCCTCCAACAAGGAATCCGTGTCCAGTTCAGTATATGAGAGGGGTTCGTCCTCTACTCGTGGAAATAAAAATAGATATCAGTCTCTGGTTGAGGCGATGGAGGGCTGCAGCCTCTTGTAATCCAAACTAGAGTCCCTATCAGACTCAGGGTGACCAACTGCGGGGGTTTACCATATAATAATATCAGCGTTTTAGGACCGAGATCCTGAGGGAGGTCACTCTCTGACCACGAGACCTCTCTCTGAATCACTCACCTGAGAGATGGGATCAACTGATAAACCTGACCGATGGTAGACGGAGTAGTATACAACCTTGGGCCGTGCCCATCTATAACAACCGAAAGGGGTGATGAGAGAGTGCAACCTCTGGGAACGATGATGGAATCTACCAACGGACCGCCCGGATCCCATACGCGAGCGGGATCCAGGATGACCGTCGGTAGTCTGAGGAAATCTGGAGACATTCTCCGCGTTCCACGAGAGCCCGGGAGGTCGGAGGAGATCAAGGCAGGCCTCTCGACGACCTGAGCGATAGGAAAAGGGAAGACACGAAACAAAGAAACGATAATGTAGTGAAAGGTAAATACGTACCTCGGATAAATAGCAGACCGGAAAATCAAGTCAAGTAAACCCCTGAAAAGGGCCAGGAGGTTAACATGACACAGGAATAACTACCAACACCTAAGGTGGATACCGGAAGGCGGCTAAAGGGTTAGTTGCTAAAGACAAGGGAACACCGTGCTTCCCTGTTGGCGTCCGAGCACTGGTCCCTGCCTGTGCGAAAACTCTTTGGAGATGTGCCACCGCCAGCTGGTGTAAACTGTGGTTGCTTGCCTGGGGATCTTCAGAAAAGCCTTGCCCTTCAGGGCATGAGGTTTAGGGCCTTCACCCTTCCAATCATACTTAGGTGCCTGTATACTGGTGTCCTCTTGGATAGTATGCCTGGACACCCACCTATCTCCATGCCAATAGTGGGCTTTCCTCAGTGATATACCCCCAGGCCTGCAGCCAAAGATCAGGCCAACAATGGGCACAGAGAGCAGGCCCGACAGAAAGGCACAGACATAGCAGGCCAATCAAAGGGGTACAGACCCAGCAGGCCTTCAATGGGCACAGACACAGCAGGCCAATCAATGGGGCACAGACATAGCATGCCAATCAATGGGGCACAGACAGAGCATGCCAATCAATGGGGCACAGACATAGCAGGCCAGACAATGGGGCACAGACATAGCAGGCCAGTCATAGGGGCACAGACAGAGGTAGCCATACACAGGTGCCCATCCGCGTGGGTAGAACCCCTTATATATGTGTAATGAAAAGCAGGGGAACCTTGGGTTGAATAACTCCAATCTGTAAAACCTACTAGCAGGGTAGTAATGTGCCCATAGCACTATACAGGAGACTGGTAGACCTCTAATGCTTGTGGCCAAATACAGAGCTATCCAAGCTGCAGGGACCTCAGAGCAGCACATGGTGTACTGCTTATAGACTCTTCTCCAGCCCAGTAAAAATATATATGTAAATACATGGTAACTCCTAGAAGTGTTGTCACTTAGGCTGTCCCTTTATTGAAATTCTAGCTATCTGTATGCAGTCACCATAGAGAAATAAACAGACCCACAAGTCAATGGCATGTACACCGAATCAAGCCCTGACTCACAGAGGGGAAGAAAGCCCCTCAAACAGACCTCCGTCGAGCAAGGTACCGATGGGGGAGGGTCGCACCTCCCCAGCCCGGTCGAACACACGTGGACCACGGGCGGAGGCGGCCGCGCCGAAACGGCCACATAGGAAAAAAGATCCAGCCGCCAGGTACACGTGCTCGCTCGCGAGTATCCCTGCGACTGGGCAGAACTCACAGGACCCACGCGCTCCGCGGGCGGAGACGGCTGCAGCAAAGCAGCCACTTGGGAAAAGAAGATCCAGCCGCCAGGTACTTGTGCCACACGCGAGTATCCCCACGGCTGGAAAGCAACACATGGGACCGCCGGAGATGAACTCTGTGGTCCCGGAGCTCGGGGGATCAGAGGAGGCATATGTAGTCCGCCTCCTGAAGCCCCGCCAGAATAAGGACAAAGGCGGAAGAAATATAAAACGGGGAATAAACATACGTGGTAAACAAGTCCAAGGGAATGACAGAAGGACCCCAAATCCAAGCGATAATAGAGAAATAAACAGTGATAGCCTGAAGACACAGACAACTAATAAAATCCTACATAGACTAAGACAACACTGTATGATAGGAATCAATCCCACAAGGACATAACAAATACCGGATATATAGGAATAAAAATCCCCAGACTAAATCCCACAAGGACAATATACAATACTGAACTTATGTAACAATAAAATCCCACGAGGACATAAATACTGAATATATAGGAATAAAATCCCACAGACTAAATCCCACAAGGACAATATACAATACTGAATATATATGGCAATAAATCTCACAAGTACAATATAAAATACTGAGAATATAAGAAATAAAATCCCAAAGCCACCCACTAATATTAGCAGGAGGCAGTGGTACTCTGACCTGTACTGATGCGGAGCAGCAAAGAAAAAGGGAATGATGCATGGGGAGGGGAGTTTTATAGTACCTAACTTTCTTCTGATTGGTTGTTTTTCTGTGCTGCTGTGGAGTTCTAGTAAAGAGAGACTTAAGCAAATACGAAGCCTTCTGTCATGTTATAAAATTAGATAGGTATAAGCAAGTGTTCAGGAAATTCAGAGGTCAAATAAATTAGGTAGATGTTGGTATTTAGGCAGATAATTAGGGTTAAATATTTTTTGGTATAAAAGTGAAAATCCCATGTTTGAAATTGTTGGGAAGAGTTATAACTGTGGAGTAATCTAATCTAAAAGTTGCATCTTTAAAGGCACAAATGATCCAAAACCAGTTTGAGTTGCTTCTGTGTTGGTACAATATTCTCAGGGCCGGCCTTAGGCAATTAGGCGCCCTGTGCAAAAAGTCTTCACGGCGCCCCCCCCACCTCCCACCAAGTTGCCTGAATACAGTAACACACACAGGCACCGGGGACGTGTGTATCACGAGGCAAACAAGGCATCTGCCTTGGGCGCCACTTTGCAGGGGCGGCAAAAAAAAGCATCCCTCCAAACCCCCAGGCAGATCCCTTGCTTGCCTCGCATCCTGGGGGGCTCAAGAGCTGACCGGCTGGCCACTTTTGAGCCCCCCCAAGGCTGGCAGCGGGCAGCGAAGGAGCATACTCACCTGAGCTCTTCCTGCTCAGCTTCCTCTGCGCCGCTTAATGAAGCCGGGAGCCAGAATATGACGCCAGTCCGGCTCCCGGCATCACTAAGCGCTGCTTACTCAGCCTGTGCGCCCCCTGCCTGCCTGCCCAGCAGCCACACTGGACTGCTGGTAAGAAATCCACTCCAGCTTTCCCAGGGAGGCTGGGTGGATTTAAAATAAATGTAAAAAATATTAGTTTGTGAGTGTTAGTGAAAATGTCTGTGTGTGTGTCTGTGAGTGTTTATTTTGAAGTGAATGTGTGTGTGTGTGTGTGTGTGTGTCTGTAAGTGTGTAATTGTGTGTGTCTGTAAGTGAATGTGTGTGTTGGTCAGTGAGTGTATATGTGTCAGTCAGTGAGTGTGTATGTGTCAGTCAGTGAGTGTGTATGTGTCGTCAGTGAGTGTGTATGTGTCAGTCAGTGAGTGTGTATGTGTCAGTCAGTGAGTGTGTATGTGTCGTCAGTGAGTGTGTATGTGTCGTCAGTGAGTGTGTATGTGTCGTCAGTGAGTGTGTGTCGGTCAGTGAGTGTGTAAGTCAGTGAGTGTGTATGTGTCGGTCAGTGAGTGTGTCGGTCAGTGAGTGTGTGTCAGTCAGTGTGTATGTGTCGGTCAGTGGAGTCGTGCATCTTTCAGTGAGTGCTTGCGTCTGTCAGTGAGTGCTTGCGTCTGTCAGTGAGAGTGTGCATCTGTCAGTGTGTGTCCAAGTAATAGTGTATGTGTGTATGTCATTGTTTGCCAGTGTATATGAGAGTGTGTGTCTGTCAGTGAGTGTGCGTCTGTCAGTGAGTGAGCGTCTGTCAGTCAAAGTGCGGCCTTGACAGGAAGGGGTGGGGGAAATTTAAACTCGGTTACAGGCATGTACACACACACTCAGTTAAAGGCAGTCACACATGCAGGCACAGGCACAAACAATGGCACAGCTACAGCGACACACACAGACAGACAGTCACATAGGCAGTCACACACACAGACAGACACACAGTAACACACACATAGACAGTTATACACACGCAGGCAGGCAGTCACACAGATAGAAAGTCACACACACAGGCAGGCAGTCACACACAGACAGATAGTTACAGACAGACACACACAGGCAGGCAGTCACATACAGGCAGTCACACACACAGGCAGTCACACACACAGACAGACAGTCACACACACAGACAGTCACACACAGGCAGGCAGTCACACACAGAGACAGTCACACACAGAGACAGTCACACACACACACAGAGACAGACAGTCACACACACACACACACACACAAGGACAGGCAGTCACACACACACACACACACAGACAGTCACACGTACACAGGCAGGCAGTCACACAGACAGACAGTCACACACACACACAGACAGACAGTCACACAAACAGGCAAACAGTCACACACACACACTTACCTCTTTCCAGTGGATGCAGTTGGCTGATGGGGAAGCATCTTTCCCTCTTCCTGTACAGCAGGGGCTTCGGGAGGTATTAGCCCCGTCTCCGCCTCTCGATAGACCCGGGTGGAGAACAATTAATCCTCCAGCCAGGTACCTCTTTTAGCTCCCCTGCACTCCGGCCATGAGTGAGCTGTGTCGGCCACAGGGCGCCCCCTGTTCCATGGCGCCCTGTGCGGTCGCACAGCTCGCACACCCCTAAGGCCGGCCCTGGGTAGTGTTATATGTGGAAATGGCCAGTGAGGGACAGCAGAGGTAAGGGATGGATAGGATTTGTGAATCAATATCAGCTGATAGAATTAAGGTTTCTCCTGAGTTGAGGGGGTTAGGCTGAGGTTGTTGGGTGAGGGGGTATTCGAGAGCAAATGATAAGAGGTGGTGATCAGAGAGGGCAAATGGAGTGTCGGAGATATTAGACACTGTACATGCATATGAGAAAAGGATGTTGCGGGTATTGCCAGCTATATGGGTGAGAGAATTAGCCAACTGCGATAGCCCAAGAAAGGAAATAATTGAAAGTAGTTTAGAGGCTGCTGAGGTCAGGGGTGGGTTAATGGGAATATTGAAGTCCCTGAGAATTAGGGATTGTATGTTAGAAGAGAGGAAGTAGGGTACCCAGGCAGCAAAGTGGTCAAAGAAGGGGGGGGGGGTAATAAATAATGGCAGTATTAGCAGAGAAGGGTTTGAAAAGGCGAATTGAATGGATTTCAAATGATGAGAAAGAGAGGGAATGGGGGGCTTGGGTAGAGATTTGAAGGAGAAATGAGGTGAAAGTAGAAACCCTACACCACCACCTTTACATTCAGAGTGTCTTGGGTTGTGGGTAAGTTGAAGGCCACCAAAAGATAAAGACACAAGGGTAGCACTGTCCGAGGGGGGAGAGCCATTTATTCATCTGCCAGGGCAGTCGAAACAACTTCAATAGATAGAAGATTGCCACTGTATCATTAATCCTTAAATTTTTCCTAGTGTGAGACTAGGTTTAAGATACTGCTATATCTATCTACCTAGCTCATAGTATGTGGCACTTAAAACAACTTTGAGTGGGAAAAGAAGAGTATCATTGATCCTAGTGTGAGACTAGGTTACCAATTTACAGTTTTTACAAAGCCTCACACAAACTTTAAGTTACCTGTCTCTTAGTTCCCCCCATTCCTCTTAATGTTCCTCCCTCCCCCCATCTTAGTGTTCCTCTCCCTTCTCTTTTAGTGGTCCCCCACTACCCCAGTGTTAATTTTCCCTTCCCTGTACCTTAGTGCCCCTCCTCTCTCCCCTTAGTGTTCCTTAAGCCTCCCCTGTCCCATAGCATTCTTCCCCCTCCCCGTCCCATAGTTTTCCTTCCCCTCTCCCCCACAGTGTTCCTTTCCTCCATAATTTTCCTTCCCCCCTCCCATAGTTTTCCTCCCCCCATAGTGTTCCTTCCCCCCATAGTTTTCCTCCCCCATGGTTTCCTTTTCCCCCCATGGTTTTCTCTCCCCTCCTATATGGTTCCTCCCCCCTTAGTGCCCCCTTTCTCTCACCTTTGTCCCTGTGTCTCCTACCTTTCTTGTAGCGTGGCCAAGCGGAGCAGACCGCGGTACAGGAGTTACAGTTTCCTGTACCCAGCCGGACTGACAGGAAGTGCTCTCTCAGTAAGAACTTCCTTTTTAGGAAGCATTTTAGTTATGAAGAAAGATTAACAAATATAAATCTCTTTAGTTTGGAAAACCAGCACCCCAGAGTGTATATTATACAAATATATTTTGGGCCAATACAAGCCATTGTCTGGAAATTTATTTTGGAAGCAGAACTATACATAGGACACACAGTTAGACTGGAAGATTTAGTCTAAGGTAAAGGAAAGGTTTTTTACAGTTAGAACAATAAGGATGTGGAATTCTCTACCTGAAGAGGTGGTACTATAAGAGTTTATACAGATGTTTAAACAGCAATTGGATAAATACTTGCAAAAGATAATTTTCAGGGATATAATTTTTAATTAGTGGGGTAAGAGCATATCCAAGGAGTTATCTGACTGCCATTCTGGGCTCAAGTAGGATTTTTTCCTAGTTTTTCTGATGGTTATATGTACCCTCTTACTCAGTCATCTTTTTATCTGTCTCTGTGATGTGTAGTTTAGTCTACAATATAGGCTGATTTATAAAAAAGGCTTGATCCAAGCCCTCTATCAACTATAAGAGAAGCAGATGGTATATTTTAAATTAGCTCCCACTCATTGTAACATATTAACATATGTTGAAAAAAGAATCAAGCCCATCAAGTTCCACCTTCTACACAAATCTGTTTCTGAAGTTGTAAAAAATATTTGAAAACACAAACCATGAAAACAGGGAAAATCACAATTTTTTATTTCAAAACAACAATAAATTATAGGTAAAGAATTGAATCCAATGTTTAATGCAAATACTGTGAAAATCATTTCTATTTATCTGCATTGTCATGAACTTGTATGCAGTATGTTAACATTACTCATATGTGGGTTGATAATAAAATAGATCTTTTTGATAATAAAAAAGTGTCTCATTGTCCAGCTTCCAGAGTGCTTGAAAGGACCAGTGCCCTA